CAAACTGCAGGTGTGAAAAAAACCTCCTTGCAATTTACAAACTATACTTCAAGGCGTACACAAAACTGAAAGACCAAGAACAGACAGAACTATACAGCAAGGGATCCTGTGGGTGCCTCAGAAAAAGGGTACACTGTAGTAAATTTAGGTCACTGGAGTCAAGGACAGATGAGTTAATTATGTGTCCAAAATAAAGTATCCCCAGATGATGACGTCATTTTAAAATTTGTGAGGTGTTCTTTTTTTTAAAGGTTGCAGGATGCCACGTACAGCAGATGAATTATATTCAAGTGAATATACAGTACTGTAAAATGATTCAGGAAAATTTCAAAGACCCGCTGTTCTACATGAACACAATGTCCATGAGGACATTTTTTGTCATGTTTTGAGTTCATTTTTTGACCTATTAGGTCAGTCTGAGGGTTCATGCTTTTTGATATACTGTACTGTAGATTGGGATACATATGAGTCATCTGTGAAATGTGATTGATGACTCGAATGAAGTTTTGCATGTGACTTGTAGAATTATTGACAAGACCCTCATTTGCATTGTTTAACACCGTCTTTTGTTTACATTCAGGCTTTAGTTCTAATTTTGATTGATGGTTGAAAAATCAGTGCATTCAAGAAGAAAATGCTGTGTAGACAAATAACAGGGTCTCTCGCTGAACGTATGCGGTGAATTGAAATATTGAATACAGTACTTTTTTCGGAAAATTTACAGGTACAAGAAAAAATAAATTCGAGAGGAAAATTCATTGGGAAAAAATGACCTGGGAGAAAATATTCCGCTTAAAAAATTCGAACTGAAGTAAAAGCGCAAATTTTCTAAAATGATAAAATCGACAGTATCCTTGAGTAAATTTAAACATTTTCTACTGTTCATTCTTTGTAAAATTCCTGTAATAATTCTCCCATCGGCATTTTCTCGTGACCGCGATAGACATACTGTAGTTGGAAATTACTGAAAGAAGGATAATAGTGATCAAAGTCGTATTCGGCGAGTACTGGTTTCAACACACTTTACCCCATTGTATTCGTTGGATGGCATGTGGAATGTTAAGCTGACCTCTCATAATTATGTATTTTGACTCATTAATCTCAAACATTTTGCAGTTGGTGAAGAGATGGATGCTACATCGGATTGGTCGAAGACCGGCTCATTCGCGTCATTACTAAATTTCAACGGATTTTACCATCGAAGCGTCGCAATATCTGNTCGAACTTGTGCATTATGTACATGTTAAGAGAAATGTCTTTCATCGAATTGAAATTTCTTTTAATTTAAAGCATGGATTTAATTTATCTTGAAATTTTCCTTTTGAAATTTCCCCAGAGTGAAATGACCATAAAAATAAATCCCGTTATAATGATTTGTGTATCCGTTTTATGTTTGCTAATCGGATTTAATTTTTGCAGGAAGGAAGGATTCTCAATTTGGCAATCACAACTACCAGTACAGTTGGATCAACACACCTAAGTTGGATTGGTTCAATTCCCGAAATTTCTGTCGTCGCCAATGTATGGATGCCGTTTCTATCGAGACCCAAGCAGAGGAGGAGTACGTCAAGTCGATCTTGATTGATGCTTGGCGTCAAGGGCGTATCGAATTCATCTGGACTTCAGGGCGTCTCTGCGATTTTCCCGGATGCGATCGAGCTGATTTGCAGCCTATTAGAACGAACGGATGGTTCTGGTCCGGGTCCGGTGTCGGGATTCCCGCAATCGGTCGTGGATATACGGACTGGGGTATGTTATCTGGGTTCTGTACGCTTACTTTAGAAAACCATGTTGTAGTTGTCTTGTTAATTTCAATAGCCCAACGAAAAATTCGTGCTATTAAGGTTTCCAATTATAAACGCGAGTAGTTTTGTTGAATTTTTGTGGTAAAAAAATGGTAGAACTACTAGAAATCTAAGTCGGTGATATTTTGGTCCATTTTTCAAATGATATGCCAAATTAATCATTCAATTCATTTTGAAGCTCTGAAAATTACATTTATATTCGATCTTTCTATGTCAAAGAATTATTGCCAATATATCTCAGCATAGAAAATTCGAGTTATGGAGGCGGCCTGAAGAGCATTATTAAAATAAGACATATTTTTCGAACAAAAATATTAATTATGAAATTACTGTACTATAAATTTCAATTTATATTTATTATAAGAAGAAAACATCTTGAAGGGATATATTCTAGGTTTGTGTTCGTCATGAATCATTTTTTTAATGTTAATTAATTCAACTTGTAGCGGGATGCAAGTGTAGCATTCATGTTTCTATTTTGTCAAATAATGTTATTTTTGGATTTTTGCAGGTATCAGTATTTCTTCAGGGACTCAGCCGGATAACCGCGAAGGAGGAGAAAGCTGCATAGCCATGTTGAATCCGTCAATCTACAACGAACCGAGTGGACAATTCAAGTGGCATGATATCGCCTGCGGGCACCAGAAACATGTGATTTGTGAAGATTCTGAAAGTCTTCTTGGTTATGTCAGGCAAAGCAACCCCGGCATTGTTCTCTGATTGTTGGAATGATGGCAGGCTTTTTTTTTATAAAAGATTTATTTATTGTTTTCAAAATCGCGTCTTGTCATTTCACGTTGATGGATGAAATATTTACAAATCTGGATGTAATTAGACTTCAGCCTCTGAAAAAGGCGGGTGATTCGCAGATGAACGGTTTCCTGTGATGGCAAGCGATGTCGTGCCACACGACCCCATCGTTGTAGAAGTTGTTCAGGATACCTAAGCAGAACTCGTTACCTTCCCTGTTATCTGGTTGCGGACGCCCGAATCCTCCGGTGCGAGACCATTGTCCTGCGATTAGGAAAATTATTCCTTAGACTGTCTTTGTTATGGATAGTATCTGGGACTCACCAAAACGAATTGGGGCTCCAGTTGAAGACCATACCCATCCATTGCGTTGGCGTCTTCCTGATGTCCATATGTACTGCAATCCCTCTGTGCATGTCCCAGAAATCAAATTTTAAGTTGAAGGTGTGTTTCAGTGAACCCCCATGTTCTAGATGCTACATATTGTTCAGTTTTAGCTCTAATCTCGATGATTCATCTGATACGAATAAGCTCCAGTTGTACAGTATTTAGAACGTAGTGCAAAACCCGCACTTCATGTTCGAACTTCAACAGTTTTGTTCTGCCTCTTGACAATTTTAGTTAGTTTTCCTGCCCGTGAACCGAACTACCGTTAATCTAAATGGGTGGGTTTAAATGTACGCGAATTCAGAAAAAGCAAAATGTCGACTTACCTTGTGCAACGACGTTCCTCACATAGTTCGACTCCTGAGGGCTGTTCAATGAAACAAGGTTCATGCCGAGTTGTCGGCAGATGGCGTTGGCTTGGTCCCATCCAACTTCAAGTCCTCTGTTCTCGCGCCAAGAAAAGTAATAGTTCTTCCCGCTACTTTGCGCATGGATGCCTGAGAAGATGTTCAAACAACGTATTGAAACAACATGCATGCACATTATTCCTTCTTTATGTAGACTTACGTCTTTGCGCGGTCGAAACGGCAATGCATCCGAGCACTAGTGCGAGAATCGCGAATCCGCGCATGGTGTCTTCTGACTGACTGGTGTCTTAGCTTGAAGAGTGAACGGATTTCACGAGTTTACTTCTGAACACTCCGCATCGTTTCCTGTAGTCCTTATATAGCCGTCGTAGGCCGTATTTCGATGTTCATTTCGGCCCCTCTGATGACCTTGTCAATAACTTTCAACCGGAATATCTTTCATCGTTGAACGGGGTTTCTGATGCATCTGGCTAGATATGCTCACCATTGTGCCTGTTTCCGGGGAAAACCCTCGCAAAATGCGTGTCCAATCACCTGTGATTTTTTATGAAGGATGTGCTACAGGTCCAATCCCATACAGAGGACTATAATCTTGTAAGATTAGATTTTCCAAAGGCAATTTTTACTCAGAATTTTTGCGCATATTTTAAAAATCTTTCATCTCAAACTGATGAGACGAATTTATATTGGTCCAAAAATATATATTTACTGTAAATATATATTATATACAGTATATATATAAGCACTGATTTTTTATAATTTCTACAGATCTATATTTATTTGGATTGTTTCGCGCACTGTACTTAATATATTACAGACGCAGAAAAATATATTTACTGTAAATATATATTATATACAGTATATATATAAGCACTGATTTTTTATAATTTCTACAGATCTATATTTATTTGGATTGTTTCGCGCACTGTACTTAATATATTACAGACGCAGAAAAACTGAAAAATTGAAAAAATTCATCAATTCCTGCAAAATGTATTTCAACGCTGAAGGGAAAAATCTCAGTAAGCCTAATCTTTATTGCTGATGTATAATACGTGATCTGCTGATACGGATATGCTGTTAATGGCGTAAACAGCACCCGCTCATTTTGATTGACAGACGGTAATAATTTTTTTTTGATATTGTGCGAGCAAGATGCCGCAGATGTACAGTACTTTACGCGGGTAGAACCCATCATGAGTTCTTACCGAAAGGTTAATTTCATATTTTCCCTCATTATTCGTAGTATACAAAACGACTGTGTGATGTAATACTGTACATCTAAATGTTTTTTTAATGACTCAACCTCTTTTTATTATGTATTCCCAAAGAAAATACTTCGCCATCACTCAATAATTGTAAAGGTGGAATCTCTCGCAACAAAATTCAAGGAATACCGCAAGACGAATTCAAAACAAATTGCTTGTAGAGATAGTTTAATTGTAGAGAAATTCTATAGCATGGGGAGAGAACTTTATGGGGACCAATGGAAAAAATGTTCAACAGAAATTTTTTTGCAGAGTTCACCTGCATTTGCATAACTATATTTTGTTTACTGTCCCTGTAAGTATAACTGATCCAGAATTGATGTTCGGAAACCCAAACAAGTGACATCTGTTCAGCTCAAGGGAAAATTTCGACCTGGTGTGTTTGAAGATCAATAGAGAGGTCTCTTCTACTGTGATCTGCCAACATATCCCCTCAATCCCATGAGGGATTTGCCTGTAAATATCCTCAAAATTTTTCAATTTCAAGCTGTCCATGGACACCATTGGAGTTGAATGAGCTAGTGTTGTGCATAGAACTGGAGTGAACCCTATCACGGAAGTTTGAGAAAGACCAATACAGAAGATGAAGTAAATTTCCCTCAATTTTATTTACCTGCGAAACCTCTCTGTTCAAAGCGAATCCTTGCAGTAATACTTTATCCTGTTCTGCGGGAATCGTACCGTATTTTAGAAGACGAAAAATCAGTTTGTAATGCTGAGCTTCAATTCCAGTGAAGTATGTGAACCGATAATATTCGTTTAAACTAGGCCCTCTGAATTTTCGTAGTTTCAGTGAGAGGTACTGTACTTATCTATCCATGGTTTTAAATTTTCTTCCGTGTGGATTTGATTTCCGCTTTGCGTTGCGATGGTTCTGTGTTCCCTTGTATATCTTCGATGTTCATCCGAATTATGAAAATTTGAGTTGGTTACAATTTTTGTTTGGCAGGTAGAGGCAACTTCTTTTGCTTCTCCCCGTATCTCTTCCATCCGGTGAAGCGTGTATAATGGCAATGAGTGCGGGAGAGTTATGGCCGTTACATATGGCCGTTTGGGAGAATAATTACCATTCGGTACATAGTCTGTTGACGAGTTCAACAGACTCACTAGAGTCGAAAGATCCTCGTGGCCGTACTCCGTTATTGTTGTCCGTCATTCGCGGTAATTTGGAAACGACTAAAGTTCTCCTGGATTTCAATGCCAATGTCAATGTGGAATCCCCTGATGGATGGACAGGTGAGTCCTAAGCCTTTTTTGAAGCGAGTTGAGCCAGTGATAGGGCAATCTTTTCTTGAATACAGCTGTCCAAGAAGCTACTGCGCTTGGAGACGCGGACTTACTTTTGCTACTTCTGAAGAAACGAGAAGAACAGCGAAATGTCTCAAGAGTCGTTGGCATTCCCGCGCTGTTGCGAAAACTGCAAGACGTTAGTACTTGTACTCTTAGATAGTCTGATGTAGTGGTACCTCAGAGATTGAACCCGAATTTACTGCCAAAAAGCCACTTGCAGTACGATACGAATGATCCCTATCCCCTCTGAAAATGTATATACAATAGGTTGTATTGCTGAAAATTGCGAACTGTGCGGCAACGGTTCTATGAGCATTTCCACTTTAATTTCAGTCCTTCCTTTAAAAATGCCAGATTCTTCTGCGCTTTGTCATATACTGACTTTTCCTTCATCACAGGCTCCAGACTTCTATGTGGAGATGAAATGGGAATTCACTAGCTGGGGTGAGATTTATCCCGCTTATCTTTTTTTATAAATAAAATTAACTTCATACTAATTTATTTCATCCTGCAGTTCCTTTGGCTTCCCGAATGTGTCCAAGTGATACTTACAAGATTTACAAGCGCGGTGCTGATGTCAGGATTGATACGACGCTGCTTGGATTTGATCAAACTTCGTGGCGGAGTGGAAACCGAAGCTACGTTTTTAAAGGACAAGGTATTCGCATGCCATTCATTCAATCATTGATTTGGAATGCTTGTCTGTTGTCATTTCTAATTCGTGCATGCAGCTTTTTCGCTTCCGACGGTTGTACGCTGTCAGCGCAGCTACATTTATACAGTCTCCAAGAAAGCCGGGAAAGGTGTCGTCTTATGTTTTTCTGATTTGGGATTAGTTTTCATGAGCATTGGCCTTTTTTTATTCGGGCGTAACGCCGAAATTTTCGGTGACAATTTTCACAATGCGCTATTTTTTGTTCTTTCTGTGTTTCGAACCCCGTCTCTGACCTGGTAAATTTGATTTTCTTTCTTCGCAACAAGCACGAGGTTTTTTCTTCATGTGTTGTCTGTATATTTCTTTGTTTGAGCAGGTATATCGGTAATTTCCTGATTACTGTTTCCTTCCATGCTCGCCAAGGTTGAAATGGAGTGAATGACGTTGATGCATCGCTTGGGTTCAAGTGACTCATTCGCTTATTCCGTAGAATCAATGGAAATACTGTATCCTACGGATTATTTTCAATACTGTACGGCGACTGAGTCACAGATCTGATGAGCATGTGTTAATGAAAACAAAAAGTTCTGTTCTTCCTCTCGTATAATCGGTTTATTGATTTTATATTTTAGAGGATGGAACTGTGATGTTGATGGAGATCGACCACGACGCCAAAAAGGTGTACACTGAGCCCGTTGCAGATGTTATTTTGAATCCTTCTCTCGACGACGTCGCTGCCGAATCTCTTGAACCGTCCTGGCAAACTGTGCAAAAGCGCTTGAAATCGCCTATCGTAACCACGTACATCAACATCGATAAAATTAGCTTTGAGAGGTCTGATTTATTTTTTCTCTCGAAATAACAGAGTTTGTTCTAAATCGGATGGTTTTTTTTCAAGGAACAAGAGTGGGATTTTGGGTTGGAGGTCGGACAAGCAAGAAGAGATAGATAACTATTCATGTAAGGTCTTCAGCGCTCAGAATGTGGAACTCGTGACGAAGACCAGGACTGAACATTTGAGTCATGCGGACAAGCGTCGTGCGAGTGCGGATGATGCGAATATGGTTTCTTCTCCGCTTCAAACTTTATTGGGTTTTGTTCACGGGGCTTCGAATGATGATTCCAAGTTGGGTGGCGATGATGGTGAGTCTCTTCTACAAAGCACACATTTTTTAAAATTTTGTGAATGGTACTTGCCGAAAATATGCCTTTTTGTGAAATTTGCCCCACCACGATTTTTTAGACGGTGATGTGAGACCGTGATCCAAAATAAATCTCTTTAGAGATCCCGCAAATTTTTAGGAAATAATAGAGGATAGTAAAACGTTGATAAAGTCGTTTATTCATTCACAAAACTCGGCTGAACTTTTTTAAAGGCCCATTTTTGTGATTTCGAAATTTTCTCTTCGAAAAAAGTTTAGGAGCTGATCTAAAGCTCAAGTTGAAGTTCAATTCAAGTGATATGACGTGCTTTAACTTTTTATTCATGTATTCATACAGTATTCAAATGGTTTTTCTAGAACGTGCTGTTGGACCGGTGACAGCTGAAGAATATTTTGACGCAGAAGTTGATTTGGGCAATCGGCTTATTGGGACAAAGAAGAGGGAAATTCTTGAAAAATTGCAGCGATTCCGCGCTACTCTGTGGCTTTGCGAAGACTATCCTTTGCGCTTGCCGGAGCAAATTCTGCCAATTGTTGATCTGATGGCCATTTCATCTGCCCATTTTGCGAAACTTAGGGAATTCATTCAGCTCCAACTGCCCTCCGGGTTTCCTGTCAGAATAGGTTTGTCCATCTTCCCGTGTACCTTATTTTTGTAATTTACTCTTGGTTTTTACATTCATTTGTGACGATCAGCTTTTTTTTGTTGAAAAGTTGGACTTTAGTGCGGGAGTGAATACTTCGAACACGTCGCAGTAGTCTAATTTTATCTTCTTTTACAGAAATCCCTCTGTTTCACATCTTAAACGCCAGAATCACATTTGGAAACATTTTTGCCATGGATTCGCCCGTTGCTGGTGTATCCTACGTGGATGAAGGTGAAAGGAAATCGTGCTATGTTGATGAGTCCGTCTTCGAAGCTCCTGTTGCGTACCAGCGACGTGGTATGTTAATGCTTCCAATTTATTTTCTTCGCTACCCAGAAGTTCTTTCGTCACAATAAAATGTTTTCCTCGACATATTTCCACCCCGATACCATGTTCATGCCATTAATTTCTTTCAAAAGAAATCTGAAAGGGAGAAATGCATCGTTTCAGCCTCTCACCCCTCCAGAATAAAACTTGAAAAGAGTCGCTTAGTACCTGTAACGTACAAGAAGCAAATTGACTTCATTTTCAATTGCAGGAAATATATTTCATCGCCATTTTCTGTTAACATTGTCTCGCTGGATCAATATGCCGTGTCTCCCCGTATATGGTGTGCAGTTCGTCTCAATTGTGGCCATAAGAAAGATCTAAATGGGCTTTCATGCGAGACAGTTTCATGAGGTCAAATTGTTTCTTCGTATTAGCAATTTAAAATAAACTGCTTGAAAGTAAGGTTTCCTTGTTCCCATATCTGACTTCTGGTGATTTCACTGTGTTTGGGAAAGTGATAACATCGTTAAAATACAGTATTGAATAATGGGAAGAAAATTCTAAATCACAAGTTTTACTGAACTTAGGATACTGGAAATAGCTGAGCATGAGTCTTTAAAAATAACTGTATCAGAAATTCTTCGTAATCATTTGATGGTCTCTTGGAGCTAGAAAAGAATTCGTTTTTACGGGGAATACCACCGTGTTCATGTATGCATACTTTTTGAAGACAGAGTGTCTACGTGTAGAGTCATTTGAAGCGTTTCTAATTCAGCTGAAAATTTTTTTTTCCTTAACAGGTTCTGCCGAAGATTTGATTCCCGCGTATCATCCATACATGCATCATAGGCAAGTTAGCTTGGATGAAGATGACGAACTTCTTCAGTTTGCCATTCAGCAATCTCTCATGGAAGCTGGCACCGAAGACGAAGTGGTGTGTATTGAGTTTCGATGCCCTTATGAATTTTTCAGGCTTCAGCGAGAGTAACAGTAATTCTGCGCACTTCTGTGTCTTCCGTCATATGCACGTGTCCTTTTCTTCGCCGGGATTCATTTCCGTGGTCCTTTGGCAATTATATTTTGGCTTCAGAACGAATTTTTCGCATTTTTAAAATCTCCGGTCTGGATTTCTGTTCAGGATGTCGCACATATTTTCAAGGAAATGTTGCTTACTTCCGGCGATTTCATCGCTTATCTATTTATATGTTCTGCGAAGTGCAGCGAAGTGATACGAATCAATAAAAAGGGATCGAAAGAAATGATGAATGTTGATGCAAGTTCAAGAGTAGCATTTTCGGGATTTGTAAAAAGTGTGAAGGATAGGTTGTCTGGTTCAATTCTCGAGTAGAGAGATTAAGGAAATGTGCTGTGATTACTTAATCTTTGGAGAATACTCGACAACTCTTGTGACTATTTTTTCACGTCCTTTCTTAATTTTTTTGTGTTCCAATCGTGTAAACCTTGTCGTTCGAGAATCACACCTCTTTCAGTATTTCTTGATTCTAATTACTGTGTGTGGGTTTATGTGTGTTACTTTTACTCGTTTACGTTGGGTGGCTTTTTGGGAAGCTTCGAAGGTTTCTAACCCATTTCTTGTGTTTGGGGTCGAATTAAGCCGCATTTCGGCTGCAGTAGAAATAATTATAGTAGATTAAAAAATTAATCTAAAAATCGTGTTAAAATGGACCTGATTTTTCTGCACATAAGACAATTATTTTTTGCTTACGCAAATCAAAAAGTAATTTTTGTCGTATCAAAGAATCGATCTATAAGATCCCCTAAGACGAACAATGCATCTCATAAAACTTCAGAGATTGAATCTTAGACAAGTTCAGGAAAAATTGTTTTTCTGGTTTTATCCTTCAGTCCCTCATTCATGCGCGTAAAATGTTGTTGGTTATTAATTAAAAGTCAAGTTTTTGGCATCGTTGATCGCCTTTGAATTGGAGTGATGGCATTCAGGCATATTTAGTGTATTATTTTACTCGTTCACGAGTAAATTATGTTTGGGAAGCTTCGAACATTTCTAACCCATTTTTTGTATTCAATTCGAATTGCTTCGCGTGACTATGTGGATTATTTTTACTCGTTTACTTCAGGTGGATGTTTGGGAAGCTTTGAACATTTCTAACCCGGATGATTCTCCAGCAAGGGCACCGCCTCCGAGACCCGGACTCTACCCTAGCGAAGACGTTCTCATGCAAAGGTACTCTTTTTTTGTTCTTGTATCTAGTCAGATTTATGTAGTCGCACTACATTGTTTATTTTCCTTATGATATTCGCACACGCAGAGCTATAGCTGAGTCCCTTTCCATGAGCACTGGCATTCCGGTTGACGCTGACGTGATTGTTCCTGAAGACACGGAAAGTGACGTTGATCTCGCACAAGCACTAGAATTGTCCCGTCGCTTAATGTTGGAAGAGGAGGAGCTCCGGAAGAGGGAAGATGAGGAATTGCAGAAAATTCTGAACATGTCTTTGCTTGAGCGTTGATTAACGCTGCAAAAAGGCGTCATTTCTTTCTTTCACGTGTATTACGTTTTTTTGGGCAACCAGTGCCTCACGATTTCTCTTACTGAACTTCGTTTTTACACTTACAATACTGTATTACTGTGGGAAGACAATTTTTCCAAGTTCGTGGTATGTTTCCATTTTGGCTTCTTGTTAGAACCAGTTAATTTATTTACGCGAATATAAGACACAATTTTACCGGACTGACTATTATAACTGACGAAGACTGAGCTGCGTCTTGGATTGCCATGTGAAATGCATGGGTTTGATCATTCGGAAATTGTAGTTCATAAACTTCTTGAGAATTATCTTACACTGAGGAGAAGTTTCAAGAAGGATCTGTACTAGAAACTCAACAAGTGCGAATCAGAGAAAATGTCTGGTGTCTGGGAAATTTGTTTTTTAAATAGTTTTTTTGACTAATTGCGATGCTAGTCAAAAATGCAGAGGATTATTTTGCTTGGAGGAAAAATGTGAGCACATACTTTACTGTATTCGCTGTTTTTTTTGGAACACAGAGGAGGAGGGCATATTGTTGGTTTCGAATTTTCGCACTCCTGTACAAGTGTACGAAGGTAGTTTTTGGCTTGTTCTGTAAGCAGGAACTGTGCTTCAAGATTCACTCTCAAACTTATCCTTCAGCTAGATATCTTAAGTGTTGGGTTGTCTATCGGAAAAGATTGCGACTTATATTCGCGTAAATGAAGGTAATTTTTTCCCCATCCCACGGAGAAATCTTCAACTACTGCATCGTTTTTCACGCATTGAAAAAAGTGCGTGAACACAGACATGGAATGGCGCCCGTTTGAGTGGTATAACCATGTTTTTCTATGCTTGAGAGACGGATAAACACTTTTGGAAATTCGGTTGATTGGAGAACAGTTATCAAAGTGTTGCTCATGATCGGTGCGCAGGAGTCGCAATATTTTTCTAACAACTCAGCTGGTTGCCAGAAGAACATCGTTTCTAGGGTGTTCGATTTTCTTGGTAATGGCAGTCCAATGTTATCCTGTGATAAACGTGTGACAGTGTCGCGAAAAGATACGTTTTGAGAGAATTGAGAGGAAAGGCCAGAATTAATGTAGGAAGTTTTGTTACCTCGACGTTTGGCTGAGCTTTGTTCGTTATGTACTAAGTGAAATGACGTAATGTTGGAAAATTTGATTTCGAGTAGACTTTCGTAGTAGCATAACCCGTTTCCATTTTCATGTATCGCAAGTGAAAGTTATGTTTCGTGTAATTATTCTTGAACCCCCTACCAGAAGGCTGTGTAGTGTGACTTCGATTATTTCATTGTTGCTAAAGGCTTACTTGTGTTCTTTGATTTATTATGCTTGATGGAACAAATTTCACGAAATTTGTTCTTGTTCAGGAGGAGAAGCCTTCCTGCTGTTTTCCAGACATTCCAGAAAAAGCGGTTTTAAGAAACCGTCGGACAGGATCGTTATTCCGGTTCTCCCCCGCTGAACTGTATTTTTCTTGTGTTTTAATGTATTATGGGACTTCTATATAGTGCTTATGCATTGCTACGGTCGGAGGAATAAATTCCGCTTTAAGTTTCGTAGAAGTTGGAAGTGGATCTTGTAATCCTGATCAGCTGCAGACTTGAATAAACGTTACCAATTTTTTTTGAAGACAGAAGCTCTTGTTTCATTCCAAGCTCATTTTTGGAACTGTACTATTCACTAGAACTCAATACATCTGGCGTTGCCATCTTTAATTCAAGATCCCCTGGCCCTGAATGAATTTAAATTTTCAGTTGAAAAATGTTATTCAAAATATGCGGGAAATCTCAAGAATGGCCCAACTGCTGGACAAAACTGCATAGAACTACAAAATTCATCCCCATCTGGAAAGGCATATAAGCCTGGATGAGCTATCAAATTAATACGCAGGAGATCAAAGCAGTAATTTATCTTGATCATCAAAATGTTGTCTCAGTATGTGTAATATTCTTTCCAGCACCTGGATTATTGCTACCTTCTTTCTGTTGAAGTGGTAAATTTATATCCTGATGATTCACAACAAATGAATCTGGATTCTGTGGAAAATTTACTCTCATCTTTATGTTCGAAGGAGTAAGTCAACGAGGCTTTTCAGATTTAGATTACTGTACTGTAATCCTGATATGGTTCAGAAACAGAACTGGTTCGAGAAACTGTACGGGCATACACCGTTCTAATAACCCACCAAGATGATCATGTACTTCCGTCCTTGACTGATGGATATGAGATTCTAGAAATGGCTTCCTCCATTGAAAGCTTTATTGCGAAAAGCAGATTATCGAAGAATCGCGCCGAATTTTGATTGGAGTGATTCCAGTTGAAAGTGTTCAGGATTTGCTAGACTTCGGGACATAGTTTCCGTAAAAATGGCGAGCGGGTGAGTGAAGTTATTTTGGTACGTTGAGTATTATGGTGTGATCAATTTAGAATTTATTCAGAGGGAAAAAGAATGCGTCCGGGAAGAGCGAACTAACTGCCGAGGAACTAGCCGAGCGAGAGCAGGAAGAGTTCAACACTGGACCATTGTCCGTTCTCACACAGTCGGTGAAGAACAACACGCAGGTTAGTTGAACCCCTGTGAGTGAGAAAATCATCTGGTACTTCATGCGCTTTGTTCGTTCGAAGGTATTGATCAACTGCCGGAACAACAGGAAGCTATTGGGTCGAGTGAAAGCGTTCGACCGTCACTGTAACATGGTTTTAGAGAACGTGAAAGAGATGTGGACGATCCTGCCGAAGTCTGGAAAAGGGAAGAAGAAGACGAAGCCTCTCGGCAAAGAACGTTTCCTGTCGAAGCTGTTTCTGAGGGGAGATTCGGTGATCATAGTTCTTCGGAATCCTCTTGCGGCTGCAGACCGGACTGCCTGATTGTGTCGTAACCTCAATTTCAAAAATTTGTTTCGTGTCTACTGTTTCTAGGTCAATGAAAATTTTTTCGTTACGATGGACTGCGTGTGTAATGGTGTCCGTTCGTCTTCTCGAGGACGAAGCGAGGCATGAAGAACTATTTGAAATCTTTTGACTGTATCGCAGGGTTACGACGTTTCTGCCGTTTTCGAGGATCCTAATCCTCGAAATAAGTGCCGAGTATTGACAAGTGCAGCTTTTGTAGCAATTGACCGAAGATGTCTCGGGGCGGATTCGGTTCTCAAAACTATCCAACGTATGGAGCAGTCGGCGATGAAGCGGAACCTTCGGTCGGTTTCCGCTCTGGAAGTGGAACTTCTCGTTCTCGATCAGGTGCTCCACAAGTTTCCCCTGAATTTCACGGCCTTAGTGAAGACATTACATCAAACATCTTCATCATAACGAATGGGATCACGACCCTGGAGAGAGCTAAGCGGAGTTTGGGTACCTTGAAGGATACGCAAGGGCTTAGAGACCAAATGTGTGTACATTTGAAGGACGAATTTATCCGGTTTCGTGCAATGAATTTATCTTGAAAATTCGTTTCAGTCATTTGACGCAGATGAGCACGAACCAGGTGATCAATCAAACTACGAAGGACCTCGTTCGTCTTGCGTCACTCGTGCAGCGTGGAGAGAAGATGCAGAAGATAAAAATGGAAAAGTTAGGCAAGGAATTCAAAGCCTCCGTTGAAAAATATACTACCCTTCAGAAGGAAATCGCTTCGGCCTTACGACGAACGCTTCAGAGCGTGACTTTGGCTGACGATGAGATGACGAGTGATGATCGTGCATTACTCATGGAGAAGAAGCGAGATCAAATTCTAGCCCAGAAAAAGGTAATCGCGGAAGAAGAATTTGACCGAGATATGCTGTTGGAAAGAGAAACGAGGGTCAAGCAAATTGAATCAGACATGCTCGACTTGAATCAGATCATGAGGGAACTCTCAGCAATGGTGGTGGACCAAGGGGAAGTTATTGGTGAGTTTTGTAACCTACCCTTCGTACTTTTAACGAACATTTTCCTTATTTACTCGAATATCGGTCGAACCTAGATTTTTTAACCGCTTAAGCTCACTGTGCAAGAAACTCTTCTGCAGAGGTTAAACCGTGCATAGCACCAGTTTGAATAACCTCAGAAGGATATCCTCGGAATCTCAAAATCCTGAGGAAAGTTTAGGTATCTTTCGGGTTCAATTGAAATGGATGTTACTGTATCAGTATCATGATTACCAACTAAAGAGAAAACGTACTGTAATTAAAAAAGTAGTAGATGCTTTTTTTCTGGTCATATTACAGTAATCTAAAGTTTGGATAGTGCTGTAAAGTCATCAGAAATGCTGCGAACTGTCTCGTGAGTTGAAGTGTGAATAATTTCGATGCGTGTTACCTTTCAATGCGCCCCATGCACTTTCAATGTGCAATCTAGTCCAAGATGCCTTTCATTTCTTTTGTGGAGTGGAATCAAAAAATAATGCACGATATATTCGCATCATTACTAAATCACTTTTTTACAACTTGTGGAAACTCACTTATTTCTCTAGATACTGTCGAAAGCAATGTTGAGCGTGCTTATGATAACGTTGAGCGAGGAGCAAGTCAACTTCTTCAAGCGTCGACATACCAAGTACGTTTCCCGATCCCTAGCGGTAAAAGTTGTGTGATAATCGTTTTTAAATTCATTTTCAGTCAAAATACCGGAAGAAAATTTGTGGCCTTTGCTCAGTCCTCGCCCTCATCGCCATCATCATCATTGTGATTATCGTGATCAACGAGTCCTCGAAGTAAGTTATTCCGGAAAGCCTAACAACCCGGATTCTTGTTGGCTGTAAGTTTTGCGTATTTGCGAATTGTATGAACCTTCATTTGCTAGCATAAGTGACTATATGGGAAAGGGGTGGATCTATCAGTGATGATTGAACGCTAATTTTTTTGCATTCCTGATGTACGAAGCATTTTTTTGGTGCCAGGGTTGACTGTGTGTGGAAGTGAACAAGGATTTTCGCATGTCGCTTGTCAATTTCATTTTGTTTAATTTTCGGGATGTCGGGAGAAAATGTCGCAGAGCAGAAATGACGTGAGGTCCAATCCAGAAGCCAAAGGAATAAATAAAGGTTGCAACGCCTGATTGCTTAAGTGTTTGGACAGGCATGCATTTTAGAGCAATAACATGATGGTATGATGCACGCCTAATGAGGGCATCAATATGAAAACCACGCGGAAGAATTGATGAAAGCATGGTTTTCTGTAATTCACGTTTCCGCGTTTATTCATTCGTGACTTTTGCTGAATCATTTGGTTTTTAATTAGGTGTACGCGTTTATTGAAATAGCGAAGTAATTGGATGTTGGAGTTTTTATTAATGTATTTTTTCTGATCTGCGGCATTTTTTCATGGTGTTGACGGGCGTGCAACAGTGCAAGTAAATGTTCTTTTCGTGTGATGAAGTAATTCATTTTTTATTCTCAGATATTCGTAGGATATGTTTCTCGCTTAATTTTGGAAGAGTGATTAAAAAATGGCAACTGCTGTCGCTAATTCCGGGCCATCCGGTCCTCCCGGTCAATTCGGCGGTCCTGGGGGATACGGTCGCCCGTCTTTCCGCGGTGGCGGTCATGGCTTTGGTAACCGCGGCGGTCCGCGATTTATCGGCGGTGCCGGCATCCCCGGAGCCCCGACACCGTTCAAACCCTTCCCCAGCAAGCTGGCTATGGAGTACCTGGAATTCGACGGGAAGCGTTTGCGGAAAGGAACTATGAGGAAGACCATCGACTACAATGCGACGATGTTGAACGTGCTTGAAGCCCGGCTGTGGCAGCGGGATTACCGGGACAGGAGAGCCATTCAGCCTGACGCGTTGTACTTCCCGCAAATGTTCACTCCTAGTCATTTGCTGGATATTCCCACGAATGCCGTGGCGACGAGATTCGTTCGCACGGCGACGAATAAGCACCATTCGCCGATTTTCTGCATGTCGTGGACTCCGGAAGGCCGGCGATTGATCACGGGCACATCCACTGGGGAATTCACGCTGTGGAATGGATTGACGTTCAACTTTGAAACGATTCTTCAGGTGAGTTGGTGTTGTGAGCTTGGTTTTGAAAGAACGGCAATCGCATATTTTTCATTCGCATCGAGTTTTTAAAATAAATTCGATTGCTGAGATTCTAGCCGTAAAACTTGACCCGTACTTCGGAGATTTACCTACCTCATACAGGTGGTCTCTTTTTAAACGATCTTGTCCACAACGATTTTTTCGTACAGTTTAACGATTTTTTTTCATTAGGTTCCCTCCCCAAGTTTAGGCGTTTTATACAACGAAATTCTCTGCAACGAATTTGTTTTCTCGTCCCTTGAATTTCATTTTAGAGAGTCCGTGTGTATTCTTATTTTCGTATGGCGAGATGGCGAATTGTGAAAGGTTTTTTAGAGAGATTGCGATCGCGGTAGAGGAATTACGTCACGAGAAACGTGATTGAAAGAGAGTATCCCGGATTTCCAATTGAATTTATCCGTCGCAGATGAAGTTTCACTTCGTGACAGGATATCACTTCGACATGGAAAATATTTGAAATGGAAATAACATCCTTTTGTATCAGTACTCTATATGTAAGGAAATTATTTCCATTCAAAATATTTTCCAGGTCGTGTTCTGCCAAGAAGGACTTGGACGGATGAACTATTTTGATAAATAGGGATCTTTCGAAATTACGTTTCTTTTGACTGCTACATTTTTAATGAAGATACTGTATCTCGGTGAGAGGAAATATAGTACCTCTTTTTCTTCCAAACTTGTCGATACAATGTCAAGTTTCGCTCCGTTAGATTAGACGGTTTAAAAATCGCCATGAAATTTAGCCTTTGGTTCTTTTTAATGATAACGTTAGGGGACTTGAAGCTCTGACCTGAATATTTATACTGCATTTGGCAAAGCAAAATTCGAATTATTGTGTGGATGTTACAATGGAGTAGTACCGACCTTTTTCCATATGCAGTATCGCATTTTCATTCATAATTAAATTTATAGTGCTACGCTTTTTCCGGATAGATGTCGCTGGTATTCCTGTTTTCATTTAATTTCATGTATAGAAATGGATAAATTTTATTTGCTTCTTGGGGTTCTCCTGTCTGTGTATGTGCATTGATGCTGTAGCATATGAAAAGTTTGTGATTCGGAAGTATTGAATCAATGAGAACTGGCTTTTTTTCTCATTTGACTCATTCCAAGCAATTTTTTCCAGTTCTTTTTCCAACTCATGACTCTTGTTCACGCACTTTTTCTTACGTTTCACCCACTGGTTGAAATTCACGAATCCTAAAATTTGTCAGTATGTACTGTACATTTATTGATGCCCCCTTATGTTTGGGGCGACATCTTTGAAAGAAAACGAGCACCTTTTTCGCTACCGTTGCCTGAACTGACACGTTACACAAACCCGATTGACCTCTATTTAAGCGCAGTGTAACCTCAAGCGGCAAATAGTATTTATTTTTTCTTACCATGGATGTCGCCACAGTGACGGAGCCTCAACGAGCATTAGTTAGCTTGCACAGTATTACGGTATTTTTTTTCCTCCTCTGGTTTCGCTTGGGTATGGAGGATGTGCGGTGTTGTTGGTCTTGGGTTGAAGATGTTAGTATTGGAATAAACGTGTTTTTGAATTTTTATTCGAAAATAGGCCCACGACAGTCCTGTTCGTTCCATGGTGTGGTCGCACAACGACGGATGGATGGTGACCGGAGACAGCTCGGGATTCATAAAATATTGGCAGACGAACATGAACAACGTGAAGATGTTTAAAGCTCATTTGGAGCCCATTCGCGGGATCAGGTAGAAGAAAAAGCTGTCCTCTTGTGATACTCAAGATCGTGTTATGAGAATAAAGGCTGTGAAACTTTTCCCCCCGCTCCGCAATAAAGAAAGGGATGGAGCAAAGATACCGTTAAGCCCAGTAAAAAAAATTTGGCTGTGATTTCGCATGTGATCTATTCGCGACGTGATTAGAGCTGTTCCGTTTTTCTTAGCTGGGGATTAAAGCGGGCATTTTTTGAACACGAACGAGCCACTGGGTTTTATTTCCTCCGTGGCAGTCTTCCTATCTTTCGTCTGAAACCGAGGTTCACTAACACGATCTGCCAAAGAATGAAGAGTAAGCTGGAGACTTGTATTGATTATTCGTGCGAGGCATTCAAGAGAGGAGCTGGAGAAGCATTTTTCGCTAGGAAAAACTCCTGTTGACGGGTTTTTTCCCCCCTCCGCAGTTTGTTAAGTCTAGCTTTGAATTGGGTTTCAGTTTCAGCCCATCAGACCAGAAGTTGGCGACTTGCTCGGATGACGGCACGGTGCGGATTTGGGATTTCTCCAAGTGCCAGGAGGAGCATATTTTAAGAGGTTTGTTGAATTGTTCATGTGTGCGTGGTTTATTTTTAAAAACAGAAATAAAATGAATGCTCAAACGTTTTTGGCTCGTATTGAGTAACGTCCGAACAATTCAAGAGACAGTTTGAACTCGGATTATCGGGACTATGAAGACCTTTGCCCGAATCAAACTTCAGGAAATGAATTTAATCAACATTAAAAGCGTAATGATACGGTATTGTTTATTTGTTTAAAACGTTGATTTTCAGATATTCATCGTGTTAGTTTGAATTTTTCAAAGCGTCCATTCTAAAGATAAGTCAATCGAGCAAATTAATTAGCTCACATTCTTATTTTAACAGGTACTGTGTCTCGATTGAACAAATATATATTTTTATTTTTTTTTATGCAAGATCCAGGGATTTTTGTTGAAATTTCTGAGGTTTCAACTTCAGAACGGTAGATGAATCCCTACAGTATCAGAAAGTACGAACAGCTGGTCGCATGAACAATCTGATGGAACTGATCAGATGCACCCTCACTGGATTGAAGGATTTTCAGAATTTATTTTCTATAGTGCGAATTAGAAATTTTCCCTGTCCTTGCACAATATTTTGAGGGAAGGGTTACACATCCGGATAAATTTGGTATGACAAGAGGTATCTTTTATGGATAAAACTTTTTTTTTTTTTTTTCAAAAAATCCCTGAACATTTTTTTTGTGGTCTGAATCTTCCGCCATGATTTTAATCATATTTTGAACCCTGTTTTGAAATTCGAGCTTTCACCCGAGTTGGTTATTTCTCCATTGCTGATCATTTACTAACCCAGAACTCACTTCATTATCGTAAATAAACGATGAGTGATTCTTGAAGAATTATTATTCTTTCTACGGAAATGGACGCATGGGTGCGCTGATCGGAATCCAGATTTTCCTCCATTTTAATACTAAATGAATATTCTCATGAGATGGATTCTTTTCCCAGGTCATGCTAAAGACTGTCTCCTTATGAACACATTATGAAATCATTACTGAAATATTTTGATTCGTGAGTAATTCAAGTAAATTTTGTCACCATCTGTTCACAAAACCGTGCCCATTCAGGCATTTATTTTCTTTCAATCGCCTCCCGAAAGTTGTGGGCGAGCATGAAAATGTCGGGGGATGAGTCAGCTAATAAATTATCAAATATTGTAGAATGTAATCCTCTTACATGAAAAGAATTCGTTGTGTATGTTCTTGGAGACGGAGATGAATAGAAGGATTTTGTGTGTTCTGTATCTTAGGGCATGGAGCGGATGTGAAATGCGTCGACTGGCACCCGCAGAAATCACTTGTAGCATCCGGAAGCAAAGATAATCAGCAACCCATCAAACTATGGGACCCGAAAAGCGGGAAAAGCGTAACCACATTGTAAGTAAATTGTAGATACAGTACCTCACATTATACAAGTACTGTACAGTAGATACTGTATTGTGCAATGTAAGTATGCTAGATTTCTGTAATGGAAAACGCATTTTTTCTTGAAGTTATAGTGTAATTGATTTAATTAGTCCCAGCCAATCACCACAAGAACACAACAAGCAATGCAATTTAACTATTTTTCGGCAGGAAATTATAAATTTAACATTGTTGAACATGACATTGAAGTAATCCTGACAACTCCCGCTCATGATTCTCTGAATTCCGAACTTTTTAAAGACTAAAAAATGTCAAATCATCCTTTTATTTTTTACTTTTTCTGTATGCTTGAAAAATTCCCAAGTTTTAGATCGAAACTCGTCTGTATTTGTGCATTTTTTTAGGCCAACAAATTTTGTTTCGTGAAACCATTTCGTAATGTGAGTCGCATCGATTTTTAAGTTCATTTTCGCGAATAAAAAAGTGAGTCCTACATTTGAGTGAATAGGGTAGATACTGTACTCGTTTCTTCGCTATTCTGAATAAATGCGAGTCTTCGTATTGAATTTTGTTGAGGCCAACTGAAAGGCAGTTCGGAAATGTGATTTTGATTCATAATTTTTCAGACACGCTCATAAAAGCACCGTGATGGACCTAAAGTGGAATCTCAATGGAAATTGGCTTGCGACAGCGTCAAGGGATCATTTACTCAAGTTGTTCGATATACGAAATTTACGGGAAGAGCTGCAAGTTTTCCGAGGACACAAGAAAGAAGCTTCCAGTGTCGTAATGATACGGTATTGTTTATTTGTTTAAAACGTTGATTTTCAGATATTCATCGTGTTAGTTTGAATTTTTCAAAGCGTCCATTCTAAAGATAAGTCAATCGAGCAAATTAATTAGCTCACATTCATATTTTAACAGGTACTGTGTCTCGATTGAACAAATATATATTTTTATTTATTTTTTATGCAAGATCCAGGGATTTTTGTTAAAATTTCTGAGGTTTCAACTTCAGAACGGTAGATGAATCCCTACAGTATCAGAAAGTACGAACAGCTGGTCGAATGAACAATCTGATGGAACTGATCAGATGCACCCTCACTGGATTGAAGGATTTTCAGAATTTATTTTCTATAGTGCGAATTAGAAATTTTCCCTGTTCTTGCACAATATTTTGAGGGAAGGGTTACATATCAGGATACATTTGGTATGACAAGAGGTATCTTTTATGGATTTGTAATTTTTTTTCTCTCGAAAAATCCCTGAAAATCTTTCCATCTGTCTGAATCTTCCGCCATGACCTTAATCATATTTTCAACAACCCTGTTCTGAAATTCGGGCTTTCACCCGAGTGGGTTATTTCTCTATTGCTGATCATTTACTAACCCAGAACTCACTTCATTATCGTAAATAAACGATGAGTGATTCTTGAAGAATTATTATTCTTTCTACGGAAATGGCCGCATGGGTACGCTGATCGGAATCCAGATTTTCCTCCATTTTAATACGAAATGAATATTCTCATGAGATGGATTCTTTTCCCAGGTCATGCTAAAGACTGTCTTATGAACACATCATGAAATCATTACTGAAATATTTTGATTCGTGAGTGATTCGAGTAAATTTTGTCACCATCTGTTCACAAAACCGTGCCCATTCAGGCATTTATTTTTTTCAATCGCCTCCCGAAAGTTGTGGGCGAGCATGAAAATGTCGGGGGATGAGTCAGCTAATAAATTATCAAATCTTGTAAAATGTAATCATTTTACATGAAAAGAATCTGTCGTGTATGTTCTTGGAGACGGAGATGAATAAAAGGATTTTGTGTGTTCTGTATCTTAGGGCATGGAGCGGATGTGAAATGCGTCGACTGGCACCCGCAGAAATCACTTGTAGCATCCGGAAGCAAAGATAATCAGCAACCCATCAAACTGTGGGACCCAAAAAGCGGGAAAAGCGTAACCACATTGTAAGTAAATTGTAGATACAGTACCTCACATTATACAAGTACTGTACAGTATATACTGTATTGTGCATTTTAAGTACAGTATGTTGAATTTCTGTAATGGAAAACGCGTTATCCCTTGAAGTTATAATGCAATTTATTTAAGTAGTTCCAGCCACTCACCACAAGAACACAACAATGAAATTTAACTTTTTTCCTGCGGGAAATTATAAATTTAACATTTTTGAACATGACATTGAAGTAATCCTGACAACTCCCGCTCATGATTCTCTGAATTCCGAACTTCGTAAAGACTAGAAAATGTAAAACCATCCTTTTCTTTTTTACTTTTTCTTTATTTTTGAGAAATTCTCAAGTTTTAGTTCGAAACTCGTCTGTATTTGTGCATTTTTTAGGCCAACAAATTTTGTTTTGTGAAACAATTTCGTAATGTGAGTCGCACCGATTTTTAAGCTCATTTTCGCGAATAAAAAAGTGAGTCCTACATTTGAGTGAATAGGGTTGATATTCGTTTCTTCGCTATTCTGAATAAATGCGAGTCTTCGTATTGAGTTTTGTCGAGGCCATCTGAAAGGCAGTTCGGAAATGTGATTTTGATTCCCGATTTTTCAGACACGCTCATAAAAGCACCGTGATGGACCTGTTCACCTTAGAGTTACCTTTAACCGAACGCTGTCGCAGTTCCCTAGTAAATGAGTTCAACAAGCTATATGCTTTAAATGCCCTTCTCGACGTTCAAAAGGCTCCTGTGTTCTTTCTTCGAAGGTCACTTTCCTGGCATCCAGTACACGAAGGGCTTTTTGCTAGTGGAGGTTCTGATGGAGCACTCATGTTCTGGCATGTCGGGTGAGTTTTTTTCGGAGAATCCGTGTAGAAAGTGCTTTGAAGATTGGGATTTTCCTTGGGAACTGACCATTTTTGCCGTTTCTTCGTTTTACTTTGAACGACGTCGTAGGAATTCTTGGGAGAGTTTTATACTTGCTTGCAAATTTTATCCGGAAAGTTTTATAGTATTTTCTCCAAAGCATTTTTTAAGGCGTATTCTTACCACATTCTCTTGGAGTGAACTGAGGATTCATGTTTTGATTTCCACATTGAACAGAATTTCGAAAACTGTAACTAGGTCAACCCATAATTCATTTTTTTGTGTCGCAAGTTTCTGGATAACGTCATCTCTTGCATTGCTTATATTGTAGTTGCTTTTAGTTGGTCCGTCATGTAGAATTGATAGTGACTATACAGCCTCCATATTGGGTGGGAGATTTATTCAAAATTATTTTTGGAAATTCTGCCTGTACGTTTCTTATGAATGGGCCATTTTTCTTGGGAGCAGAGGTAAATTGGGGGAGATTTCGGCCCAAAAAAAAAAAGGAGCAGTGATGTACGCGTACGCTTTTTTTCTAGAGGAGTGAAAAAGTGGTTTTTTTTGCGATTTCTCTCCCTCACACTCCCTCACAATCGAAATTTCTCCTGCCGTTTGATGTTGGGATTATTTCACGAATGCCGCGGAAATATGGATTGAGTTACCTATTTTTTCAAACTTTTTCTTTTTTAGAACGGAGAAAGAACTTGGGTCGATCGATCCCGGGCACGAAAGTATAGTATGGACGCTAGCATGGCATCCTTTGGGTCACATTCTTTGTTCCGGGTCCAATGACCACACGACGAGGTTTTGGACAAGGAATCGGCCCGGGGACGTCGGAAGGTCACAAGGGGACAGATTTCACAATATTCTCGGGTCCTCGGGCATTGTTCTGCATGGGTCACGGTCGGAGTTCGGGTCGCGTCATGCCCAAGCGAACCATGATCAAGATCGTATTAACCAAGGTGAGCTTTCAAAGTATTTCTTGGTTCATTTGGATTCCTCTGTGTTGAATCTGTTCCGTTCAATAGTTTTTCTTTAAATGAATTTATTCAAATAATACCTGTCCTTCATTAAGATGCGCACCTTGGTTTTGCAGAGGAAAGTTTGGGTAAAGATGACATGTTGATGAAAACGCGGATTCGTGCGAGAAGTGCTTAGCTTTTGGAAAATCGCGAACTTTCCAATTATTATTTTTTGCATGTTTCATATTTTGTGTGAATGGGAATCAACATTAAGTGACGGAAACATTTACAAAAGCTGTGATTTTGAATTGTTCATTTTGAGTATTTGGGTTCATAGTACAGTAAAATCTCATTACAATGATCTCCCATGGACTTGATAAAAAATTCGTTATAACGAAAAAGTTTGTTGTATTGAGATTCATGATTTCTAGCACATTTTAGACTGAACTTTTGTAGGAAAGGGGCAATAAATACTTTCAAGTGCTTCCAAAACAAATAATTCAATGATTATATCATAAATATTGAGTATTCCTGATGAAATGAAAAAAATTGAAATAAATGTTACTTTCCTTCTACTGAACCTGCCATTCTACTAAAAAGTGACATTTGTTTCAAAGTATACAATGAACATAAGCACAGTACATGTAAGGGGAATGCCTCCTTCTGAATAAACTGTTTCATTCATGCATGTTCTTGTATATAGAGGAAAATTCTCTAAAACATACTGTATATTTTGGGAAGAAAGGCATAGAATCTGGAATGGAGCTACTGAATTTCTAAGAAATACATCATGTTTAGTATTTTTTGAACAGGAAGATTTCTTGGCATGCATTTTTCCTTATTGATACAGTTAGAATGCTGCTGCACCTTTGATTTTTTGGTGATACATATTAAACAAACCCAATTGTATTAATAAACAGTGATGGACAAAATTTCTTTATACTGAGAATAAAGCCTAAAATGTGTTCATTGTAGTTAGATTTTTATAAAATTATGCCTATGGGAAACTGCCAGGACCAGTAAAAAAATTCGTTATAACGAGATTCGCTGTAACGTAATTCTATTGTATTTGTTGTTTTAATATTGTTTTTATTAGCTATGTGAAAGAATATACACGTTTAATAGTTCATATACGGTGTTCGGATTAGTTCGTTGAAGCTGTTTTTAAATTTTCAGATGCTTCCGGAGGAGCTGTGATTCCAGGCATGGGCATTGAAGAAGAACCGTCCAAACAAGTCCCTGAAATAAAGAAGGAACCGGAAGGAGGCTTTAGTTTTGGTGACGACGAAGAATCTGGAGCTATTCCTGGTTTCGACATCACATTGGACGCCATCTTGGAAGATGACAAATCCAGGAAAAAGCTTCCGTTCGCGAAGCCGATTCCGAAGCAGTTTCAGCAACAGTGGAACGACGTTAGACCCGTACCACCCCCTGTCCTTGCTGGTGGTCCTCCAGGTAACAGTGAAAAAAATGGTGTCCTGATTGTCCTGAATATATTTAATCGAAGCGTTTTTGGTTTAGAATGACTGAACTTAACCTAATTTTACACCTGTTTTTAAGTAACGGTGTCTGAAACGGTTGAAGACACCACATTGAGAACAATAGAATTGATCTTTATGAAAGCCCCTTCACAATGGGAATAAGGAATTACTGTACATCATCGCATGTTTGCTCACATTCGCCCTTTTTTTATTTTGCGACGTCTCTGAATGCACTTCGAGATCGTGTTGTCCATTGAAAGTTGAGATCGTGTCGTAAATCATCCTTCAGTAATGAAAAAACTTTGTTAATTTCCATATTGAAATTTTAAAAACTTCTCATTGAAATGGTACGGTTACTGGAGAATTAGGACAAATCATCTGATGCAAAGAAGTGAAAAAGCAGCCAAATTTAAATTTAAGAAATCGTTCTGCTATTGATTTTTTTTAGCTGTTCATACCGATGCAACGAGAGTATTTCAAATCACGCATGGTTGGGAGGTAATTACCGTGCTGTAACTTGGATTTGATTTCGCAATTTTAAAGATGGTAATTTCAACGTGCTGATACCATTCTTCCAAAATCGGTTGACTCTGTACGTGAACGTGACGGGTCTGATTAAAATTCGCTTGATGTTCCTCTGAACTTGAAAACATGGCATCAGATGCGTCAGTGTTACTGAATGAATAACTACAGTGAGACCCTGAGATGCGGACTTAATTGGTGCATCAAGAGTGTTCCTAAGTTGAGTCTCTTTTTCCCTTAGACTTATATTATATAATTTTTAATCGGTATTTTATGTACAAAAACTCACCATAATTCCATGAAAATAAAAATTGTCTCTCAATTACAACTAATTCAATCAATATATTTCAACACAATATGGACTTTTGGGGAATTGAATACTGATACAGTACCTCTGTACAGTGAAAAGAAATGTTGCCATTCTCTGTAAAAATAACATTCAAGTGAAAAAGAGAGAAGGAAGTTCCTCTCTCCTGAAGGTAATTTTTTAAAATTAGCTGAATGGATGGTTATTTGGTGAGAGAAATGCCCAAGAACTTTTCTTACATCAATTGTAGGGTTGGAAATATCTTTTTCTTGTAATTTTACCTAAAATGTATTTGAAATTCTATCACAAAATGACCCCATGTTGAGTCATTGTCCTCATGTTGGGCCTTTTTTATTATTTTTTTTATGGGAAAATAAGTGTTCCTATGTCAAATTGTCTGCAGGTTGAGGTTCCCACATGCGGGGGCCTCACTGTATTCTTTGCGTTATTATCGCTCTCGTTTTTTTGTGATTGAGATTCCGTGGACTTACACTTTTTTACAGTTGCCGGTGCCACAGAAGGAATTGCACCCGTTGCTCCAATGGTTGAGGTGAGGGTCATCATTACTCTTAATTCGTTTCCAGTTCTTCTTTGGTGCGCGTAATATTTAATATCACAGCGTACAATTTAAAGAAAAAGTAAAACAGAACTACAATTGTAAACATTTTTAAGCTCAATGCGGAAATTGCATAATTTATAAATTTAAATCCATAGAGGGAGACACATTTTGCATGGAAGGAGAAAAATTCTGGCATAATTTGGACTAAGTGAGTGTTCGGCGTCTGGGAGAGGAATTGGACGTTTTTTTGTAGAAAATTAATTTCATCCTCATAGAAAAATTTAAAATATTATGTCTTCTCATCAGGATGAGTGAGAAAATCTCTTGGCATCTTCAGGGAAAAAATGACTTTCGCATTAGTGATAAATCCGAAATTGAGCTTTCTCGGGAAAGGCCGGCCATCTACCCTTTTCTTTCCTGGCTGTTGAACACGTTTTTTTATTTTTTATTTTGGAAAATGATGGGGATCCGTTTTATTCTGTTACGCTGTCCCACCTTTTTTGTGCTAATTTTGATAATAAATGTTCTTAACTTCCTGAAGTACTGTATTCACGTTTCACTAGCCTAGTAGATCTTGCATAACCCTCCGTCTTATTTGAATTTTCGATTTAATTTTTTCGCCGGTGGATTGTCACTTCGTTCATCACTGCAGGCGCCACAGATTTTTGGTGAGTACTCTTCTACCAGAAAAAAAAGAGAAATCGGCAATAATCTTCCATTTTATTTTCATCAGCTGTAGGAGATACTGATTTGCGACTAGGAATGCCGCCGCCGCCCGGAGACCAGATGTTCCCGGAAAGCAACCCTCTTCTTCTGGCCCAACCCGGAATGCCAGCAGTGATGCCAGGACTGTTGCCGACTCCTGAAGACCCTCAGGCAAAGCGACCCAGAATGGACAACACCGCCATCGACACGCTCGAAGGCGCCCCGGTTTTCCTCAACAATAGAAATGTGGTTTTCAACGCCGTGCCCGGCTTCAATGCCGCTGTTCCACCTGTTTTCAATGTTGATCAACAACAACAACAACAACAGCAACAGCAGCCGCAACAACAGCAGCAGCAGAATGTGGGTTGGAATAACCAAAATGACCCGAGAACTCAGCCGAGAATGAGATATGGCCTGGGAAGCAGTAGGAATGCCGCCAGAGGGATGCTTTATCAGAACCAGAGGCGTTGATGGTTACCTCAAAATCTTCTTTTCTTGGAAGGAAAAAAAAGACTGGACGTAATTTTGATGTTTTATATGAAAATTCCAATCCTTGCTTTGGTGATGTGTGGGCGAAAATGGATCCTTCGGGTTGTGTGGACAAAATTTATTTTGCAATCCGACTCTCGTAATTGTTGTCAAGGTGCCAGGACAGTTGAGCGCATCTCAAAATAACACTGCTGAGGAAAAATTTTTAATAATTTAACTTATGAAGCGGAATTGTCTCGAAATTTTGCCGGATAATTCGCTTGATTTGACCGAGCTTCATTATTATCTAGGACAGAGAACATTTTACGCATAATAGTTGATTTTTGCTTGATTTTATAGATATTGCGATATTTTTTCGTATTTCTGCTGATCTTAGCAATGCGCATTTTGTGCCGCTGTTTTGCGACGCGCTCAACGGTTCAAATCATGGCCCTATTGAGTTCCTGGTAAAAAATGCTTGATCATATCCATAGATTTACGAAGAAAGACGCATTTTCGTAGAGTAATTTCCCTTCCTGGCTTCTGACCAGTTGACTTCTATTCTGAAAAAAAACCACATGACGGAATTTTTAAAATGTAATTTTTTATATTTCTATGAACTTTCGCCTGAAGTTGATCCAGCTGAAGTTGATCCAGAAAATCTTGAGAGGTTTCAGTTCTCACATCGGTGGCCTATACCTTTTTTAATTCGACGTTCGATCTTTTGGATGTTGGTAAATCGGATTTTTCTTTAAAAATTAGATTCAACACCGCATTAACCCGAACAATTTTTTTTGGAGGCTACTTCATCAATTACTGAACCCATATTCACAAAATTTCTCGATTGATGAACTGGTAATTTTAAGATGATTTGTTATGCTGAAAAATCCCCAATATCAATATTGTTTGCTATGAACTTTTTTGTGAAACAGCAGCAACTCGTTTAGTCTAATGCAGTGCTGACTTGGTAGAATATTTCTTGGACTAATTGTCCCGAAAATAATTAAAAATTATTAATTAGAGTATGTTATCCGTCTTCTATATTAACGTGTTAATTTCAAGTACCAAGCTCGCCTTTTTTTTAAAAATTAAATAGGAAAAAAAGGGCTGCGAATAATAGGCAGGCATACATCTTAGAAAATGTTTTAGAAGTTTAGGTATGCATTATAATTTATTCTAAATGTAAAATTTGGACCAAGTTTAACAGAAAACTGATTTCAATATAAAAAATTGAAAATTATATTAATTCATGTTCAATTCATATCTAAATGTACATTTTGGTGTTTTTATTTTAAAAATATTCCAGTTTTTGAGTCACTGAAAGTGGGGTGCGCGTCTTACTTTGGGATACAGATTCATAAAAATTGTAGACTCTAAAGTACTAAACCCCTGGTGTGGGTTTCACTTGAGGGTGCATGGTAGTGATGGTACTTAAGTAAATACAGTAATTTATCAGCCTGTAGTCCAGAAAGGCTCGGTCAGGACTCGGTGAAGAATTAATCAAAAATTTTAATGTGAAACTATGAACAAAATCCATCTGTAGACGTGGATGTTCTCGAAAGGTTATTGTGTGGATGTTACAGATGGTATCCACTCAGCTGCGCTTTAGTTCTGATCCTAGTAACGTTGAGGTATTGCTCCTTTTGAGATATTGATCGTTATATTTTCTTCTCCGAGGATGTAAGTAGGGATGATTTTCATCACCATCGCGTTCTGTGTGTGCGTAATCCATGGACTCATCTTCGCGTTTCGACACAGACTAGCCGACGGAGTTCGCGAACTCGGTCCTGATTATGACTTGTACATCCGGCCGCTGGTGTTCCGCATTACGCGGAAGTTGAATTGCGACGGGACTTTCGTCCGCAAATGGAAAGTCTCATTGTCGGTGTGGTTCAACGTTGGTGCTGTCGTGACGTTTGTGTGCGCGTTGCCGACTTTGGTGACGATATTTTATGCGTGCTTCGTTACTTTTTCGTGGCTGGGCGGATCCGATTCCGGTGGAAGTGATGGAGACATTTTTCAGAGTGCGGTGAGTAAACTCGAGTTGATTCTTTCATTCTGGGTGGTCATGAGATTATGCTGGCTTTCTTCAGTGCAGTGCATTCCGATTGGTGGTGCCCGGCAAATGTTCTAGTTTTTTTTTTTCATTACTGTACTGAAGTTAATTACAATACTGTACCTGTATTGTGTCGCCATATCGAAGTGTCTAGTTTTCTGTGCTAGAAAAAAGGGAAAGCTTTGATCTTTTCTAACCGTTGCTCGATGTAATGTTCTAAATTTAAATCTTCCACAAAGTTGAGATTTTCGTTTAGGGATTAATATATATTTTTGCGCCAGATTGTGTCACATTTTCCGGTCTTCCGTTCTTTTTCCGAGACTCAGAATATCTGTGACTGGTTCTGAGGAAAAGTTATTGTTTGCTTTCCTTTTCATGCGAACATAATCAGGATATTTTAGCCGGATCTTGAAAATAGGCGTGAAGAATTTCTCACTGTTGCCGGAAAACTAAATGATTGATCGAATGTTGAAGTTGATTGCATTGTTTTCTGTAGTTCAGGGTTATGCATTGCGTATTTTTTTTCGTTCGAAGCTCCCGACTGAAAGATCATCTGCGACTGATGTTCTGTTGCTTGTCACATCCTTGTTGATTTCCCTCGTCTTTCACGAATTTGGCCACGGTGTTGCAGCTGTCTTGTGAGTGCTTTTTTTTTCAAGTGGAAGTGTTCTACTGAATAATTGCATCTCAATAATTACCGTTTTCGAAGACTGAAATTCCCGGTCTTGGGAGTCGGAGGGTTCGTGGTCGGGATTATGCCGGGGGCATTTGTGAACATCGCCAACAAAATGACTACAGACCCTGATGCCATTCGGGAAGTGTTCGTTGTTGCAAGTGCGGGGATTTGGCACAATCTCGCCCTGTCTGCCCTGGCGGGGTTATTTTCTCAAGTGATTTTGCCTGTTGCGTTTGCTCCAGTGGTCGATGCGGAGCGAATGCTTCGGGTGGATTCAGTATCACACGTGAGTGTAAACATATTTTGGTTTTTAACTTCGGTAGTGAGTGGAAGTTCACGTGTGCTCATCGAGAATGATGACTGGTGGCAATGATCTGAACTGCCAAAAAGTTTGCGCGTGCTATCACTGAGAATGTTACTAACGGTGTGTTATCATCCTTTCCAGGGTTCTGCTTTCGGAGGTGCCGCGGGATTAATTCGTGGAGATTACATCGAGGCTGTGAACGGATGCCCAATTAAATCTTTGGAAGAGTTTTCAGTGTGTTCGAGTAGAAACCAGCCCGGTATTTGCATCCCGCAACCGAGTTCAACAGTGGCTTCTTTGGAAGCGTGTCATTGTGGTAACAGTAATAACTCTTCCGCCATCTGCTTTCGCCGCGAGGGGATCAACGAAATGTATTCGTGTTTGCCAGTGAGGAACGCATTCCACGAAAAATCGGGTTTCTGTCACTTATTTTCCGATTGTGGGCGTTCTGAGTGTTGGCGACCCGTGCTCAATGAAGAAACCGAACGTTTGATGGAAATCGAAACTTTACGTAAAGGCCGTTCGCATAAAATTTATTTTATCGGTAAACCGATTTTGGCCATGAGAAGTGTCACTTTCGTCGTCGACATTCGGGGTTACTCTCCAAAATTTCCAGGTTTTGGATTTTTAGTTGATTTTTTAACGTTTTTCACGAAGTTTCTCAAACTGCTCGCGCAGATATCCTTCACTGTTGCGTTTTTCAATATCCTACCGATTTTCTTCACCGACGGAATGTATTTGTGGGAGGCGATGCTTCATTATTATTTCGGTGTCAAGGTTGCGGGAACAGTGCGAAGGAAGAACATTTTCAAGACCCAGTACCAACCTGATTCATGTTACTGCTAACAACAACAACAAAGGTGGCACCAATTCTCAAAAATCCAGTAAAGTTACTGCGAAACATAGGCCTTAAAAAATAATTTAAAAAGGACTTAACAATTAATTTTCAACAATTTTATTCTCACTCGAGTTCTGCTCTTGACTGACTGACTCTGAAAGTTTCAAGACTCTCCCTCACCATTTCAAGTTATAGTAAAATGGTTGATACTGCATCTTCAAGGTGCTGGGAAAAGGTCAAGATATTTTTAAATTGTCAAATGTTGAGTGAAACGCTTGCATCGAAACTGGTAACGAATATTTGTTGATAAGGAATTGCTTTCCAAATAATGAAAAAAATAATCTGGTTACTGAAATTTTCAAGTTTTTCGCCTGGGAAGATGATCAAAATTATTTTGGGACTATCAGTGACGAAGAAGTACTCCAACGAGAATCAATATTCTCATTTACAAATTATGGAATTGTGATTTAAGTTAACAATGTGTTCAAAATGCGTTTTCTCCACATGTTATAAGTGTTCTCTATGTACAAACTTCTCTCTACAAAAATGTTTCTTGTCCCTTGAATTTTATTGTAGAGAGAGTCCACCTGTAGCACTTTTTGCAGCAAAAAATCTTCGTTTTTCATGTTCATCCCAGAAATGCATTTCCTTGGAACTGAGAATCACCTTTTCAGCCCAAAAACCAAGATTTGAAAATTTTGATTGTACATTGTGTACCTTTTCCAAAATAGAATGTTTTTCATAATTTTTCTACATAATTGTAAAGTAGATGCAGTTTTCATACAAAAGACACTTCTCTGAGCAAAAATACTAAAATTAAAACGCCTTGTTTTCCAACAAAGTGTCACTACAGATGGACTCTTTGTACATTGATCTGGTCTACAACAAATTTCACTGTACCAAAAATCCCTATTTTTTTTTTTTACAAATTGTGTTCTCTCTGGTGTTGGCAATTTGTCACTGATCTGTAACTTTGTGAACAAAGCATTACCAACAACTTCAGGAGTCTTGAAGTGCAGAACTTGAGGATTACTTGAGCTTTTTCCTGATTATAATATCGATTTCAATTCATATATTCCTGATTGTTATAAATTTTCGCAGTTCATTATCACACCTTGTTTTTGTTCTCATGTGGGATGGAAACTGAAGAACCTGGCGGGGCTGAAACTTTGGACTTGGAAAAAGGTTAGTTGATTCATATTGGATATGAGTCGAAAAAATACCTTTTGACGCATTGTTTTATCTATACAGGGAATGAACTGTTCTGTTTTCATGGCCCTTCTTTGTATGCTGCCCGAGTGTCGGATAAACGAGAAAAAGATGGAATCAAGCNAAAATTCGCAGGAATGCCGTGAAATCTACGAAATCTGACGAAAAGCAGCCGTTGTCACGATCACCGAAGAAGCATTCGGACCAAGACAATGCATCCAACTCGGATCGCGTTCGCAGGGGTTCCACCAAATCCCCGACTCCGACACAGTCTCCCCCGCGAGCTGAACCCCTTAACCTCGAACCATCTTTAAAACTAGAAGACGTTCGGATCGCGTCATCCGCCACGAAGAAGCTCAAGCGAAAGCGAACGAAAAGCAATAGCGAGGACTTGAGCGACGGAAGCGATGACAGAGTCGTCAAGGAAGAAGTTGATGGCTCAGACGACAAGCGACCATCTCATCAGAAGCACAAGCATAGACGGAAGCTCGGCTTTGGAGAGAGTTCGACGGTACGGCAGTCGCCATTTGCCAAGCCGGACAGGGTTGCCGTCAAACCACAGTATTCGTCTATGAAAACTCCGCGAAAGTTGATGGACCCGAATGTGGAGTGCGTTTTGGATATTGACGTTCCGCCGAATTTGGCTGGCATTTTAGTGCAAGACGCGAAGGAGTGTTCATCAGTTGAGGTAAAAGTTTCTCCTGATTGCGAAATAGATGTACAGTGCAGTAAAGGAACAATCTTAAAATTTTCAGCAAACTGGCAAATTTCCAAAACATTTTCTGCAGACCAGCAAAGTTTCATAAAACTTCTGCAGGCTCGAAAAATTTTTGTTTGAAGGACATGGCAGGTACTTGAAAATGTTCTGCTTTTGCAAAAATTAAGTTAAGATCCAAGAAGCAGCTACAATGGCATGTCTTCAAAAAATTTGGGAGGTTGGCTTGAATATAGGTTTTTCAGAATGAAAATTAAAAGAATACTTTTTCATCAGGTGATTTCAGCTGTCATTGTCTTTCCAAAATTTCAGAAGGCTTCATTGCTGCTTATGATAAATTCAATATGCTGGAAAAATTTCCTTTGGACTGACCAAAAACTTCTGCAGACTGCTGCCGGTCTGTGGACCATGGGTTGTGGTCTTGGGGAACACTGCTGTAAAGTAATTACAGTACACATGCTTGTGAAGTGCCTATTAAACTTAAACAATATCCAGTGTTTTCTAGAGACTTCCCAGTGCAAAAGGTTTAAGGAATGATGTTGACAGCTGACATTATGTTTTCTGTGTCGGTTGAAGGACTTGAAGTGCATAATTTTTAATGATCTTCGTGTCTCCAGGAGGTGAAATTTGAGTCTTGCGTGACGATCGACGAAATATTTCAGCGATATCTCGATACCAGACCCGACATTCTTCAATGCAATTATGCCAAGTGAGTCTTCTTTTTCTGGGCCCCGGATTCCAAAAGCTTCCGCTTAATCTGATGTACGCGAATGTAAGTAAATCGGTTACTATGTTTATAATTTGAATTGCAGTACATTTTTAAGCGGTATTCTGAATCTTACTGTTTCAATGTACAGTATTTGTTCTGAATTACTGTGAAACGCAATTTCAGTAAAGGTACTGCCCAACACATGGCACACAGGACCGATCTGGCCTGTAGAGACTCTTCATTTGTCCCATGTTCCCTTCCCTATAATTTTCAAGGTGGCTGCTGCCACTATTAAAAAATATGTGCAGTTTGAAAACTAAATTTGATAATTAAAAATGTTGCTCAACTCTTCACAAATTCTGTAAGGCTATGATTTTCCTCCCAATTTAGCTCTGAATTAAATTTGTAACTTATGATTGAAAATAGGAACATTTTGAACCTGTCTATTGTGGCCCACAAGGACTTTCCACCTTCTGCAATCTGGCCCTTGGCCACATCTGAGTTGGGCTGCACTGCACTGTTGTTATAGGCCCCAAAATGTACTACAGTACAATTCAAATGTCGAATATCCTCACCTATTGATAGTCTTTCCGCATGTGAGGATGAGTCAGAAGTGTGATTTGAAGCTAATGGCCCGGTAAAATGAGGTACGTTTTCAGAATTAGTGTCTGAAGATTTTGGAATTGAGCAGTTAATTATATTCCACGAGTTGTTCTTAGTCAAACGAGAATATATTCGTTGTGTCCAGAGATCACGCTTCTGAGGTATATAAAGATTATGGACTGTCGTATATACGTTTTTCGGATGCGTCATCTGTTGGAAGAAATGTGTATTCGGATTAATTAAAATTCGTTGAATGTCGACCAGGGTGAGAGTTATCGAGCGGGTGGTTGGTGCAATTGGAGACCTGTTTCAGCTTTTGCTTCCTGTTCGACTACTCTATGACTCGGAGAAAGCCATGCATAGGAATATGACGGTTTGTTTTTTCTTGCATAGCACAAGACTGAGATGTTTGGAACTACAGTATTGTCTGTCTGTGCTTTTTAGGACGGAAACGAAGAACCGTTGATCAAAATGTATGGAGGCGTGCATTTACTTCGATTGCTCTGTGAGTTTGGATCTGATGCATTGATTTTTACGATTCTATTATAAAGCTTGACATTTATCCGAAAGGCTCCGATTTTGTGTATGTGCTGGAGAAATGCCTGAACAAGCGAGCTCTGGAAGAACGACGGGCCGGCTTGGTGATGAACTACGTTTACGATATTCTTGAGTGAGTTCAGAAAAAGAAAATTGTACATACTGTATTAACAAAATTACGGTACTGTAATATTCAGTTGAACCACGATTAATTTGAATCTCCCTACGTTAAATTTTTTCCAAGTCCCCGTCTGAATACCCATGGAAGTATTGCTATAAAAATCTCCCTGTGACTCGAATTTTTTTATGGTCCCTTAAAATTCGAAATAATGTACAGTGCAGTACTCGCCATCTCAGTGTTGTCCAAATGGCATTTTTTGCAGCTTTATGAGAAGCAATGTGGAGTTCTGGTACAAAGGTGATTGTGGATTACTTCTCAAGCAGTCCGAAGAAACGAAGGCTTCGGAGGACGTTGAATTACCTGACATCAGTGCGGACGACGCAGCGCAGGTTTTCTGTTACAATTTTAATCGCGAAGATATTTCGCATGATAAGGCGGGTGTGAATGGTGTGAACTGCAGCAAGGATCTAGCGTTGATCTCAAATTCTTCCGCGGAAAATTGAAAAGACGAACGCTGCAGTTTTTTTTTTTTGTCAAGTGTGTTGTTCGAAAGATTTAATTGGGTGAAGAGCAAATGAAGTATTAGGTGACCAAGAAAGTGCTTCAACTCATTTTGGCTTGGAATGGTCTTTTCAAAATGCTTCTGCGTCTTGATACAATTTTATGAAGACACTTTTTGGTCAAACAAACAATTGCTTTTTCGAAGTTGAGGCTCGATATCCCATTTTTTGCAACTTGCATAATTTATAAAAGAAGCAGGAGTTCAAACTGGCAAGTGCAAATATGCGCTGACGCTTTTATTCAAAAACTTCCGACGTCAGCCATAATTTGAGGTATGGTTTCTTTATTGTGTACCTGCAGCAGTCTCAATTTGCCATTCAAAAATAAAACGACCCCTTCTTGATGAAATAAGCACTTAGTGAAATTATGCGAGACAGAATTGCTGGCATCGCACTTCGGATTGGAAGTTATTCTCATTCCCTAAACATCCTCCGTAAATGAA